TAATTATGAGACTTTTTAAGACCGCGAAATGTCCATTCACGTAGCATCGTACCTGGCCGTTTACCACTGCTCCTCATGAAATGTACAACATACTCCGCATCCATTGTAAAATTTTATGGACAGTGTATGATATCTTTTTAATCACATAGAAAAATATGCGATTTTCGTTACGCGGAACGCATGCGTCTTTTAGAGTGAAATCACTAAGCGCTAATGCAACGAATGACCAGGCTCCAAATTATTCGGCAATTATAAAACTTTTTTAAAACCTAATTATACTCCTTCCTTAAGTATAAAACATAAAGAAGGCGTGATTCTCTATTGAGTGACTAAAAGAAAGCATATTTTTGCTTATGGTTTCTATAAAATATATTTGAATTTGCAAGAACATCGAAAATCAATGGGAAAAATGCATACTACTTAAGTATTCATTTGTTACCGAGCACGCTTTCTACATGAGATTGAAAAGAAGTGCATTTAAAAGCCCACATCCTGCCGAGTCCGAAATATTATAAGAGTGTCTTAAGATAATCAGTATTACAACCGCGACCAAGTCATCCTTCCTAATCGAAAACGCATTTCAGAATTTCAGCCAACATTTCATGAGATAGGTCACTCACTGTACATGTCGGCTGGCAAGAAGATTGAAAATCTAAATCCTTTTACTCCGAATGTAAAACTAGAGGGCAAGTTTATTTTCTCATCAGGTTAAAAATACGTCTTATTGTCTTCCCGTTAGGAGACGAATCAATTACAGTGTCTTTCATAAATAATACAAACTCGAGGATTAAACGCTCACGAACTTCGCCTTTCCTCCTGCAAATCGACTGCCCATGCGGGCATTCCCGCGAGCCGCTACAACCAGTTCATATAATCTCCCGTTCGTGGGTGGTCCGGCCCTTAACATCACATCATTCGTCTCCCATCTCTGGGTAAATTCGTCCACCTGGGCGGTACGAACTCACACCATGGCGAGATTAACCACGAACTGACTAGCTAAGTAATTCCACTTTAGAAAAATATTTTCACAAATCCACTTAAATTTACTCCACGAAATACTAAAGCTGAGGTGGCAGAGCAGGATTGCCGGCACGAATTCCTGACGGGAATTGGAATCATCAGCATGCGCATCACAGTGAGGCAGTTACAGCTGAGTCAGCAGCCACGCGTCTACCCAAGCGAGCATTCTATGATGGCTTACTTACGGGTTTGTTTGTAGTCAGGGTGGACAAAAGTGTCGTAACGAGAACACCCTGAAGATCTTCATCAACTATCTTCAAGCCAGTCCTTTAACCTGAGAGAATCTAGACTTGAATCCGTAGGTGCTTTGCAGTGTTGGGAATGCTGGGGTCGAAATCAGTGAAATCGTTCGCACGGAAAAGGCTAGGGTGAAGAACAATTCAAGCAACTCTCAAATATCACTGACCAGTGCCGTAAATGCTCACCACATACCAACCTATAGGCACGAGGAGCGAACGTTCAGAAAGCGCACCCTATTGGTCTGGCATCATCTTCGGATCCACTGACATGTCAACACACTCAACACTCTGACCCGTATAAAGGCCGTCGCCATCACCGGGAATGTCGTGAAAGTCAAAGCATCCACCTAGTCGCACATCCGCTCTACCAACACCACTACCACCACCTCAAACAACATTGTAGGCACAGTTCTCCCATGTCCCTACTGTGGTCCCACCTTAACAACACATATCGGGCACTGTCGGCCAAGTGTAAATCCACCTCATCTTACTCGCCGAGACTGCTGCACCCGCTTACACTGGCCCATCGCATGGTCCTGTTCGATTTCAAATACAGTCATAAACATTTTCAGTTTACACTACGGTCCAGACACATTTTCATCACCTCACCGTGCCCGCATACACACCCCGAGTCAACGATCGCATACACGCCATCCTCCCTACCTAGCCTTGTGCCTCTCATCTACAGCAGACATGGGGAATGCCATGAGGCCAGAACATTTCGTGACCGCCTGTCCAACTACTCACGACCACAGACTCACTGGTGTCCCATGCGCTGTAGACGTAAGCACGCCTGAAGAGGATTCATTCTAAACCAACCTCGCTAACCTACAATACTACATTCCTTTACGATGCCCATCCGTGTGACTGACCGACATCCACTGCCGTCAATGCCCTTTTCCCATTTGATCGCCTCAGGCTGTTTGGTTAGTAAACCGTCAGCTTCAAAAGCACGCATTGGCTGAGGGCAGATAAACATGGGATCAGAGATTTTTTTCCGTCATTAAATTCTGCATGTTGCCCCACCTTTGTTTGGTAAGCATGTTTCCTCTCCAATCCTGCCTTGGATAAGCTGAATTTCAAAAAAAATTCAGGAGTCGACGTGAAGTGACCTGCATTCAAGCCCGCTTGTGATTTGTTTCCGAGTTCGTTCTCAGGCATTTTTAACATTCCATTGAAATTATTTGCTGAATAGGTCACAGTCGACAGAAGGACTTGTAAGTCATTTCCGACGTGGTTGGATTCCAGCTAATGATCATCCATTTTGCTAACCCTGTTATCGTGGGGCGCTTGTGTTCTGACATGTTGTGCTGTTCCCATGATATTGACCACAATTCACAGAAAATATGCTTCCCTTCGTGGACAGGCGTCCTTGTCAATGGTTGCGTTCGTGCAATGACAGATTACTGGTTTTTATATAATTGTTGCAGGCAGTGTCTCTAGAAATACATGTCAGCTGGAGAAAATGCTTGAAAATCAAAATACGCCTTGCTCCGACTGCAAAATTAGACGGACGGGCTATTTCCTCATGCTGATGTTCAATTTAAAAAGGCATCTTCTCCGCTTTACGAGAGGGGTCACATTGATTACGGTGTCTTTCACAAATAATCTAAACTCAAGGACTAGGCGCGACCTACGAGATGTTTTGGTGGTCATCAACATCGACTTTCTTCCTGCAAAAGGACTGCCCAACTGAAAATAAACTAATTCCATCCCAGTTTTCTCTACGGCGCAGAGAAGTAAACGAAACATTCAGTACCGTTTTTTTACTGTACCAATTCTCATCATCAGTGGACTCAGAGGCTTAGATAACCTATTGGAAAGATGAAGGATAAGGCCGGCATTGAGAATTCAACCCTACGTAGATCATGGAATTCTTCAATTTATTAACGCTGCCGAACTAAATTTGTGAATTAAAAGTTTGTCAACTGATGTGATAACGCGTTTTTTCACGGCCGAGTCTCTGGTTACAGTGAAGCCTTCTCAATGCGATCTTCATGGCGTTCATACTTGTATGAGATTGGAGTCGCTTGCTCATGAGCCTGACATACGTAGCGAATACCACGTCGTGTATGGCCTTTGTCATATTTTTGTTTATACGCTACCCCTTTATATTTATTCTACTTCTTAAGCATTTCCTACACATGCATTTATTCATCTTTGTTTAAGTTAGTGTTTAGGCATAGGTTACGCGAACACTCTAACTGGCGTTACTTTCGGTTTGACTAACTAACATTTTACCCACCGCCTTTGTTCTTCTCTGGGCGGCATTGACAGTCAAGTCCGTTCTGACGCGGCCATTTTGCTTGGCTTTTCACGACTATGTCTTAGCGTGGGATCGAGCTACTGTTTGACTAGACCGGCTACAGGTCTACCTACTGCAGATCCCGTAACTCCAACCTGACATTGTTGTCCGCCAAAAAGAGCTAGTTTAATGGCGTGCTTTCCAAACTCATGAATCAACCTCTAGAATAATACCACAGCTTCAATACGGCTGGACCCTCGAATAGCATAATAAGAGTTAAGTAAACCGAAACGACTCTTCACCCTAGGTTATCTGCTGATCAAGAACACCTTAATAATGAAGCGACTAGCCCCTGAATGGCATTCACGGAAGTCAGATTGTCTAGATGATAGTCTATTCGTTCGCTTCATGTGGGTTCATCTCGCAGATGCGGACAAAGACCATCAGATTGAGAAATGTTCGAGTACGAGGAGGAGTGGCTAAGGGTTACCTCATCGAATGGCGCAATTAAGAGAAGAAAGGACGGCATTAACGCCAACCTGTCTATATAAAGCGCAGCTCAATACCACGGAGGTTGTCCTACTATCTGTCTCGGTTGAAGCTACTTCAGCATGGATGCCTTTTACGGATCGTGGCATCTGAAACACAGTGGTGACTTGAGTGCGTTACCTGAACGCCTGGGTGTCAAAATACCCCAAGATCAATTGGCCCAAATGTTGAAATCATCCCTCACATTCTCACATGCCGACGACGGTCACAGGCTTCATGTCCAAACCGGCTCAAGGATTCACGATACGAAGTTCAGGCTGGGTGAGGAGTTCGAGCACATAACAGTGGATGGTCGACGCGTTAAGGCAAGATTCTGACACATTATTCATTCATTTTCATACTTGCTTTCACCGAACCATCCTCTCCAATTAAACTTACTGCTATTAGGCATATAAGAACTCTATGCCGATTGACTGTTACTCTCGACGAGTGGAGTCATCCAGACAATTATCACCACCAACACTTACCTGATTCTGCAATGAAACTGATAGTCCAGGTGCAATTGAAAAGTTAGACTAGTTTTTACTCATTCCTCAGTACCTATTAGATGATACATACAAAAACATATTGCAATGCACAGACAGGTTTTTAGAAGTTCCATCACTCTTACTTGCCTAATTTAATTTATTCGTGAGGGTGAATGGAAGCCAATATAAAACAGATGACAAAAAGGATACACAGCGTGTAGTTTTAAAAGCAAAGAATTGATGTTCATATCCCTTGTAGATGCTTATGAACCTGAAAGGCAAAAAGTTGACAAATGATCAGAGAGGAGATAAACCCATGCTTATTGAGAACATCGTGGATGGTAATAATTTGACAATGGTGAGGCGAAACCAGTCCTTTAGCTTTTTTGTTAAAGTGGCAGTTGATAGGGGGTTTTGTAAGTGACAACGCTGATTGGTTAGAATGCACAACCCCATTTTGAGCTCACGATGGACATATTGCTAGGAAGAAGGCCTGTTAAACAGCTGCAGGGGACAGTGAAACCAGCCAAATGCGCCTGAGTTTCTGTCTGTCTGCACCAATGGGTGGTTGCTATGATAGTTGAGGACCTGAGTTATATTTTTTGCCTTTCTGTTCACTGTAGTGCTGAGTTCACCGTCAGGTGTGCGCGTGACGAGCACGTCCAGGAAGGGAAGTTTCTCGTCCTTCTCGTCTTCTCTTGTAAACTGAATGTCAGGGGATATGCCGTTAAGTAAGTCTTGAAAACCCGATAGCTTGTCCTTTTCAATAATGACAAATGTATCGTCCACGTATCGGCGCCAAAACGCAGGTTTGCAGTGGCTGAAAGCGCCCTTTTCCAGCTCTTGTGGGACCAATTCCGCAACTTGGCTGGATATTGGGGAACCCATGGATGTTCCTTTGATTTGTTCGTATGTTCTGCCATCGAAGGTGAAAAAGGTTCGTTGGCAGAATGCAAAGAACTGCATTAGGTGCTGGATTTTTAGCGGCCCTGTCGTTTCGTCGTACTTTTCTTCGAGGCGTTTGCGCAGCACGTCGCGCGCCAAGTCTGGTGGGATGGACGTGAAAAGTGAGGCAACGTCGAAGGATACCATGATTTGGTCGGGTCGAATAGTTTTTCCCCGAATGTCGGCAAGGAAGTGGGAGGCCGAATTGACGGACGTCATATGCCTTGTAGATGCTTATAAACCTGGAAGGCAAGAAGTTGACAAATGATCAGAGAGGAGACAAATCCATGCTTATTGAGAACGTTGTGGTGTGTAATAATTTGACAATGGTGAGTAGAAACCAGTCCTTTGGCTTATTTGTTAAAGTGGCAGTTGATAGGGGGTTTTTGTAAGTAACAATGCTGCATAGTTAGAATGCACAACCCCCCTTCATATAAAGCCATCTTGAGCTCACGACGGACGTCTTGGTAGAATGAATGTCTGTTAAACAGCTGCGAGGGACAGTGAAGCCTGCCAAATGCACCAGAGTCTCATCTGTCAGCGACCAATCGGTGAAGAGGAAAGTGCACCCGGCGCCCCGGTATCGACGAGCTGAAGAGCAATGATTGAAGAGCAATGATTGGCAGGTGAACTAGGCCACCCAAAAATGCCTTCTGCGCAAGTCCGTCGATTTGGAACTGCGTGGGCGGTACTTTTGGGAAATACAATTGTCCCTGGAAGTTCACAATGACAGGGCCTGTGGTTGCCATAGCTGCAATATCATAGAATGTGACTGGGAAATGTATACAAGGCACGGGAATTTGAATTGCGTCATTACCAATCTCGCAAGGGAATGAGCGGAGGGCGATTTAGTGAAATTGTAGTTTTCATTTGATTGGTATGTTCTCAGTGTTTATTCATGCTTAACTTACGCCCCGCAACTAGCTCATTCTGTGAATTCTTTTTTTCCCATTTACAGACCCTGGAAGTTGGCGACGTCTCCTGTGTCCGACACTACATCAAAACGGAAATGTACAAATATTAATAAATGCAAATTTATTTTGCCACAGCATTTTTTCTGCTCTGTGTGCGAAATGCACACGGGGTTGCCATTGCCCTTTACTATTTCTCAGATAGCATGCTGTCCCAGCAAATAATTACCCTTTTAAATGAACCGCTTTTTGTATTCGATTTCTTTAGACCTCGGAGGTATACAGGCCTGCGCATCAACCTTTCGACAGTCCTCCATTAGAGGAACGGGGGCGCACTTGACGATGAATATAAATGTGTTGAAATGAGTTAGGATGAGCGTCTGATTCGCTTGCTCACTGCTGCGAACTATCAGACTGTTTAAGATTACGCGTATATCCCAGTCGGCTCACTGCACTATTTATTGGTGTCAGTTGGAAGTGTAAACGCAGCGGCACACACCGACACTAAACCAAACAGCCGACTCCTCGGGTCAAATGTTTGAAGCAATCCTTTCCCGGAATGAATTTGAGCAAAGCAAAAGCTTTGAAATATGGAGAATGTTATGAGTTCATGAAATTTCATGACCACTTCTTCAAAGGCTCTCGATCCCTGACTCATCGGTAGCCCATGCTGAGTAAACGAAATCGTGCCTGAAGATAATCCGCTGTAAGCTAAACTCGCTAACCGTCTAGCTATTACGTATAGTTTACTTACTCACTGCCTGAAATTCGTAGCTTGATTGTTAGAGGCACAGAATTCTAGTGGGCCATGTCCACCATCAGTTGGTGTAAATTTGTATTTTGATACGGCGATTTACACTGACATCAAACCGTTAATAATCCACTTTCCATCCAAGTTTACTCGCGACTCTTTGATCAAATCTTTGAAAAACTGCTTTCCCGGAGTAAGTTTAAAGTGAGCGAACGTGGCAAAACATGGAGAAGGCAACGAGGTCATAAATTTTCGTAACGCTTTGTTAAATTATAAACGATCACTAAATCACTTGTATTCCATGCTGTGTAGACGTAATCGTGCCTGGCGAAGATTAGTTGCAAACCAAAACTTCTCATCTATACTAATTCCTTCCTTCCAACCCCCATTATGATGATCGTTTATGTGACTGATCGTTCAACTATACCGCCAATGCTCCTATCGCGTTTGATCGCACCATACTGTCGTTTGCCTTATAGAGTGTCAGTTTCAAAAACGTGCAATGAACAAGGCGTCAGGGAATCCTATTTAGTGTCATTGAATTCCGCATGCTGTGATACCTCGAGGGAGAGAGAGAGAGTGAGAGAGACAGCCAAATGACAGAACGGGACGACCGAGTCCCGTAACACCATCGGTGAGCGCCCCTCTATCATCGTCCCACCTTTAGCTGTTAAACACGTTTTCTCACTGATCCTGCGTTGGATGAGTTAAATTTCAATGAATTTCAAGAGTCGGTTTCAATGGATTTGAACGCAGGCCCGTTTACAACATGTTTCACAAACGGTGCCAGGTCTCTTTCACAAAATTTGAACAGAATTTCCAGTGTAATCATTTGCCGAATAGATCACAGTTGAAAGACGTATTTGAGAGTCATTTCCGACGTGGTCGAGTTCTAGCTAAGGGTCATGAATCTTTTCGACCCTATTAAACTGGCGCGATGCTCCTGTAATAGGACAGGTGCCTTATTCAACTTTGATGTTTGCTCAATGAGAAATTTCCGGTTCTTGTATAATTTTTGCAGAAAATTCACGTAACTCTGCCTGTTCCTGTGCGCAAGCCTTTTTCGACCCCTTGTTCAAATACTCACGATCACAGACTCACTAGTGTCCCATGCCGCGCACAGGTGAACACAGCTCCCAACGCCAGGATCGGTGGGTCAGATGGTCAAGCAGTCATCACACCAACATCCAACACACGTCTTGAAATTGCACCAATTAACGATGCGAATGTCGGCCATCAAACAGTCATCACACCACGTGCAACGATCTATGATGAAGGAGGAGCCGCGACCATTCATTGGTATGCGGTAGCATGGCGACTGCATCCTATAAATACTGCAGCTCCTTGTGCATGAACCACCCGTATCTGCTTTTGTCTCTGATGATGGGTTCGAGCAGGAATCTGGAACTTCAGACGAATAAAACTCTTGTCCCAGTGATCATGTTTTCTTCTTCACGACTGATTCCTGGCACTCGTCTCTTCGCTTCTATTAGTAATAAAGAGGCCTACACATCAACCTTAAAGGAGAGGCAAATCGCTTTGAGATGGATATAAATGGGCTGAAATGGGTCAAGATAAACGCCTTTTTTACTGCTCCCTGCGTTTAAGATGACACAAAGAATCCCAGTCGACCATCGCCACAATCTGTTGGTTTAAGGTTGACGCGTTGGCGCAATGACTCATACTGACATTAAACCGTGAATTGCTCTTTCACATCCTAGCTTACCTTCGACTCCTTTGATCCAATCTTTGAAACATCGCTTTCACAGAATGAATTCGAACAGGGTAAGTGTGGCAAAGCACGTCAAATGCAATCAGGTTGTAAAATATCGTGACTCCTTGTTCAGCTACTGACGATCGTTTGTGTCCCATGCATAGCAGACGTAATCCCGCTTGACGAGGATTAGTTGTAATCCAAACCTGCTCACCTATACTAATTCCTTCCTACCAACCTCCGATCGCGATGCCCATCCATGTGACTGATAGACCTCCACTGCCATCAATGCCCTACTCCCATTTGATCACCCCAGACTGTGTGTCTTATAAACCGCTAGTTTTAAAAATCCGCCTTGAACAGATGAATAGGGTGACAAAAAATCCTACTTTGTATGATCAAATTCTGCATGTTGTCCCACCTTTGTTTGGCAAATATGCTCCCTCACTAATCCTGCCTTGCATGAGTTAACTTTCAAAGCATTCCAAAGAATTGGTCTGCAGTCAGGCTGGCTTGCAACATGTTTCACACAAAATTGCCAAGTTCTGCCTGACATAATTTGACCAAAATTTCCAGTGAAGCATTTTACCGATTAGATCGCAATCGAAAGAATTAAAGGCAAGTCAATTTTGACGTGGTCGAGTTCCAGCCAATGATCATGCATTTTGTCAACCCATATTTCAGTGGCACGTACGATCGCATGCTATGGACCGTAATTCACAGAAACTATACTTCCTTCACAGGTCCGGCGCCTTCTTCAATGTGGACGCATGCGCAATGAAATGTTTCTGGTTATAATATAATGTTCGCAGGGCACTCATGCAACTCCGTCTATTCCTTCAGGCAAGCATTTTGTTAGTCACAGTTCATTGAGACCGGCAAGATATACGTCGGATTTTAGCTGAAAAGTATGCTGGATTAAACAATAATACTCTGATTGAATAAGCGCGTATGGAAAACTCGTTCATCAGCCTGAACATAACAAATACTGAAGGATGCCTTTCCGTAAACAAATAACTTAATTTTTTTAGGAAACTCCTATAACACAACTGCCTTTAATGTATGCTTTCCACAGTAAAATATTTAGGACATAAATGAATCTATAAATGGAGGCGTAAATGAGCGCTAACATATTCAATCTCATATTGGCACGTATTTCCCGCAGATCGTTTGCAATACGCTCAACCAAACGTGACTACGTGATACTGCTGGATATGTCTAGGCGCTCTGTTGCTTTTTGCTTATGCTTCAACTGTCTTCAGTGTAATCTCTTCAATTAGGGAGTTTCGTTCAACGCCTTTTTTGTTACCTTCAGTGCCCGTTATATAAAATTACAGGTAACAGGTGGATGTAAGGCGTCCCGCATCTCGCAATAAACAACTAAGAGAATTATCAACTGTATAAACTAACCAGGTTTGACATTTATTCGCACATTAGACTAATGATCAATGCCAGTCACAGTCGCCATGGTCTTTCAGACTTTTGTGCGACCGCATCTGGAGTTTGCTATCCAAGCATGGAGACCCCGGATCGGTAAAGACCTTGGCTTACTTGAAACGTTCATCGGCGAGCAACGAAACTTGTATATGGGCAGTGGACACTACCCTACGAAGCACGATTAGCTAATCATGACCTCTTTCCTTCGAGTTACAGACAGCTACTTGGGGACCTGATACAAGCTCTCCGCATCGTGCGCAATCAGGACTGCTGCCTCGCATCTGGAGACTTCTTCGTGTTGGCGACTACGACTAACCTGAGAGGCCATCCACTCAAACTGCGTGTGACTGGTGCTCGGATAGACACACGAAAGTTCTTCTCCAACAGAGTGGCTGCAGCTTGGAAT